CCAATAGCGTTTTATCCCTACATTCTTCGCGATCGAGTCTTGGAAGCCGGTAACGTAAAAATAATATCACGCACGGAACAACTCTCGCTGCTGCCTGCCGGCTCGACGTTCGGCGAGCGAGTGATAAGTACGGAATTTTCCATTACGTAGATGGGCCAACGAATTCTCAACGTTTTTTTCTTGTTTTTCACTCGGCGCGGTGACGTACGACGTTTTTGCGTGCCATCGTGTACCTGAAGGTCGCGCCACGCTATCATTCGCTCGCCGAACGTCGAGCCGGCAAGCAGTGGCGCGAGTCGCTCAGTGCGTGGTATTGTTTTTGCGTTGTCGGTTTCCAAGACTCGATCGTGAAGAATGTAAGGAAACCGCTATTGATTTGGACTCCTTTATCAGTGACAAGTAATACTACTAGATTAATTATTAAGTTTCTACAACTTGTAATGAGAAACGAATTGCGCGTTGAGGCGACGGCTCTTTATTAACGTGTACATGGATATTTTACGAGACTAACTCATCTAAATTATGAAAGTAAACCGTGGTACGCTGTCGCGGTTACATCTCGTTTACGCACCGCGCTTTTATCTATCTATCGATTTCGTGTAATCTGTTCCATTTTCGGGAAGAGAGAGATATTTGTGCGACTTCGGCGTTCGCGCTGTAATTCGCTCTGTCGTTCTTCGCAACTCGAACGGGCAGGAAGTAAAGAACGTCGCTTACTGCATTTCACGGTATTTTACATCGCGTACGGGAGTGTCCGAAATTTCGTGCGATCGATTTTTGCGAGTGAGTGTGTGAGTGTAAGTGCAACAAGAAAATCTGAGAGGAGGAGCAGGCCTAGACGGCATCGGGCAACGGCAGAGAAATCGTAAGGTAAGTGTCTTACATGTTTGTTATTTGCTAATTGTGCAAAATAAAGCATCTGTTCTTTTCTTTAGCATCTGTGCTTTTATTTTATTTATTCAAATGATTCGAACGTGGGTTCGAATAAGTGTTAGAGACAAAACCATACGTATAAAATTTTGTGAGTTCATATTTAAAAGGAAGACTTTCAGTATTCTATATAATTATTTTAATAAATACCCATTTTCAAAAATATTAAATATAAAGTATATTTAATACAATAGTCTGGATTTTACATAATTAGTCTATAATAATCGTATACATTTTTGTATTGTTACAGTTTAACATGTATAGTTAGCGATGTACAACTTTTTGCTGTTGCGAACCGTATCAGTGAGTGACAAATTACTTTTCATTTTAAATTGACGTTGCGCATACAATTACTTCTTCGCGTGTATACAAATTCTTAAAAATATACAAAGCCTGACCACAAACTGCGCGCGCGAAGCGCGCGTTTTATCGTTTCTAGTGCATAAAAAAATTAATGAGTTACAATTAATTAACGTCACTTTTGATATTACTTTAATATTTAATATTGAAATTATTAATTATTAAGATCTCGAATTCGACGATACTCATTCCATTTTTAATTTATTCGCAGTTTCTAGCTACGCTCTTCTTTCCGTGCACATCTCGCGTCTTCGTGTAGTAAATCATCTTTGGGAATTGTGGAAAAACCGCGAGCTTCGGGAAATTTCAATTAACCCTTTTATAAAATTCTTTCGCCGATGAGAAAACCGTCTCGCGAATCCTCGAGAATCGGTTTTCCCTGACAGCGTGGTCTCTCCGAGTTAATAGTCTCTTGACAATGAGACGACGTTTGCGAAGTATGCGTTATCGATACGATTACTATCGGAAGCGCAGATAAATCACAATTTTCGGTCGCGGGTACACTTTTTCCTCTCTTTTTTTTTGGCAGAGGGTTCGTTCGTGGTCCGATTACAGAGTCAACTCGGGCGGCGTCACGCTGAATTTTGCACGTATACACTCTTTCCCAGAGGCACTCTGGAAATATTGTCCGCCGGTGGAGCGGACGGCTGGATTTCACGGGCGATAAAGTGAAAGCAAACCGGCGGGGTGGCGCGAGCAATAAAAAGTCGGGGGTGCCCCGTGCCGCCCCGGGATAATGTATGAGTTATTCCACGCGCCCACCGTTGCACATCCGGCCTTGATGCAGGTGGGCTTAGCAAAAACTGATCGACCGAACAGACGCCGGCGTTACGCACCGTTGTTTCCAGGGAAAACTTCGTTAACTCCGAATGAAACGGGGGAGGGGGTGGGACCGAAGCGCGCGTATTTGTGCAGTGCTGCAAATACGCGGAGTTTGTTTAAAATCGGTATTAAATCGGGGAGCGGGCTGAGAAAACGGTGCCGTCTGACAGATAGCTATCGAGACGGTGGAGCAATTCAATTTGGGAAACGCGTTTCGTCAAATTGTAAGCCCGAAGGATTAAAGAGGGTTGTCCCGAGGGAGGAGATTGGCATGATTCCATCTCTGTGCGAACTTGTAAGTGATCTATTTTAGTAATTCAATTGTTGCGCTGTTATATCCTTCTCGATAGACCCGCGTTTCCGTTTAACAAAATTGTAGGATCGAAGAGGAACAGCTGCAAGTCGCTCGCTTAGGAATAGCAACACTTTTATCCCTTGTCATGTCGCGTACCTGAGCGCGCGAAATCTCCGCGGCCTATCATTTGTGAAACAAATAATCGCTTATTATTTAAAAACTATTGCAGACTCGACATTTTTGTATTAGAACTTTCGTCTTGAAATTTTCTAAAGAATTCATAAAAGGATATCCGGTGGTTTTAATACACCCTGTACTTTACGTACAGGATTTTTTTCATGTCATGGAGGAAAATGCATAGGATACATAGAACATCCGACGTTAAGTGGGGTATCGACTGCGGATAAGTGACAAGTTAACACAACGTTTATAATTGCTAAATCATTCACTGTCGTTCGAAGAACATCGATAAAACGACGTTGGAAAAGTAATCAGATTGATAAGATAATTATAAACTCTTTTAATTTATCTCGCCTATTTCCGACCTCTTCATTGAGACCGTATCGCCTTTGCAAGTTAAGTAGCATAAATGGAAAATATACATTTTTAAATACAGATATAATTTGTTAATGCGAAACATACACGGAGGGAATTTTTTCTTAAAATTTATCCTGAAAATCGTGGGACAACGTGGCATTTTGAAGAATTTTATGAGAGTTTTTAGAAATTTTACCGTACATTTTACTAGTATAATGTGTGATAAAATTTCAAAAAACTCCCATAAAATTCTTCACAATGCCACGTTGTCCCACGATTACATGATTTTTAGGGTAAATTTTGAGAAAAATTCCCTCCGTGTATTTTTATCCAATAAAAAAGATAAAAAAAGGGCGTCGCAACTTATATCAAAGCGGTGGTTTACATTAATCAGAGCGGTCAAGTTAAAGTTGTATGACAAATCGTATTATCGATAAAATCGTTCTTCGGAAAATGTTATTTTCACTTATGTCACTTCCCGCTGCAGAGACGATGTAATCTTCCATTTTTTCTTATGTAACCAGTAACGTCTGATATTATTTAACAAAACCGAGAGACTCGCGAACGTTGACTTTTACGGAACCAGAAATAGCTTGGACCGCGAAGAAAGTAACGATCTTTGATCAGCCACTTCCGATTAATGGCGTTATTCTCCCCGAAGAATCGACTGGCGAATTACAACTTTGGTTACGCCGCGGAACTAGTTAACGTAACTCGATCCAAAAATTCCCGTTGCGGGACCGCGAGGGGAGTCGCTCGGCCGTGAGCGGACGCCGATCGGGTGCGTCCCCGAGTTTCATCAAAATTCAAATTTCCGAGGTCAACGAAGATCCCGTGGTAAGTGTCGGGATTAATCGAACCGCGCGAGTGGAGAGGGGCACGGGCTCTCGAAGGCTGATTGGCTCATCATCGTCACTCGTGGACGGCAGGCGAAACTTTTCGAGGTCTGCCTCCCCCGGGTCGCGTACCGGGAGAGAATCACGGGTCCCCTGCGGATACGCGAAAGCCCGGCTCGCTTTGACAGCGGAACTTTGTTCATTGACTATCAAACGTCGGCCGGCCGACCTCCTGCTGGACCGCCGCTGCCGAAGTTCACGCGTTAAATCCCGGGGTGTTGCCACCCTCTCGCTACTCCCCCCCCCTCCCCCTGAAGCAAGTCGGTGGCAGCCATCATGCGCAGGCCGGACGTAAAGTCATAAGCCGTGTAATCAGGATGTCGTAATTAGCGGAGTACACGGTGTGCCAAGGCGTGCGCGGTGCACAGGGGGAGGGGAAGGGAGGGATATAGAAACGAGAGAAGCGTTTGACCCATGCACGTTACACGTTACCCGATCGCGCACCCCATTGGAGAACGATAGAACGCACTCCACGCTCGGCGTAATCGGCTTAGAGCGGTAAGGTAACGAGCGTGTCGGCTAATCGGACGATTGTAATCAGCTCCTCGCTAATGTTCGCCCGAGAGCGAAGCGCGCAATCTGGGAGAGAGAGAGCTGAGCTGGATGCGTGCGATGCGTGCGCACGGAGCGCACACTTTGCGTACGGAGTGATCATAGACTTATACGGGGTGTTGTATAACATAATGCCTGTGTCACCTCTTATTCGCGGATAGAGCGGACTAGACTGATTGTGAGTCGAAGAGTCCTCTACCGTTTAGCAATTTTCGCAATAGTAAAGAGTTATTGTCGCTCTACTCGTGCCAGTTTTATCCCCGCCCGTTTTAAATGCCGGGCCACTTCTCGCGGTCCGCCCTGATGTCTTCCTTCATTCGCGCGACTCCCCTGCACCGCCGCGTTTAATACTCTCCAACTTCACGGCCCGAAAATTTCGCGGTCGTACACACATGGGATCTCCGCGCACCTAATTCGATGCCGCGGAGACAAACGAGACGCTCCACGGCCGAGAGAGCGGCGAACTTTCTAATTCAATTTGCCAAGTTGCCAAGTTACGGTGATTCCCACGATTCACCGTAGGGTCCCCATCACTTCCGGTTATACCGCGAGGACCACCCCTCCCTCTCGCCCCTTCAGCGCGTTTCCATACGAAGATAACGATCCTTCCGTGATCGGTCTGCCGGATTGCAAATCTTCTTTGTGCTGAAATAAATTGCCCGGACACATGCCCGCGCTACCACGTGGTAGCAAAATCGCCGAGCCATCGCGTGAGAAGCGGAAGAGAGAGAGAGAGAGGGGGGGGGGGAGAAAGAGAGAAAAAGAAATTGCCCCACATTGTTACCCACGTGGTTTCGATGCTACAATCGGACCGGCAGAACAAAAGGAGAGAGAACGACCCGTATTTTGCTGGCTTCCCCGTTACAGCGCGCAATTCGATCCAATTGCGTGCCTTTGTGGTTTAGGGATCTACGCACGCATAATTGGGTATCATCACGGTCGCGTAATTTCAGAAATTTCAAGGAATAGACTCGAGACCCCGCGCAAAAATATCGCGATCCTTCGGCAGCGAGTGAGAGCTGAGGGCATTAAAAGAAGTGAAAAACGAACCGACGTGCACAATAGAGACTTTCAAATCACAAACAAATTGTATTAAAATAATTAACATCGGTATTGCACTTTCGAAATTCTCAATTTAAATTATTGCTCAATACGTTCCTTTTACGCAGAAAAAAAAGAATATTCTTCTTTTGAAAAGATGTTGAGTTTCAACGTGAAAATCTCGAATGACATTATATCGCGTTAAAGGAAGAACAATTTATTTTAACGAAGCAATTTTATGTAATTCACTCAAGAAACATATATATGCTTACTACTCGAGAATAATTTTCTTGAGCGGAAAGGAAACAATAGAATTGGATAGAAAATAACATATTTCCAAATCGCGGATTAAAATGATTGAAATAACTTTATTGTTAAAATAATTATATGTATTCTTCAAGCAACAATTATAGCACTTAAGTAAGACTGTAATATTGCTGGAATGTAAGACTTTTTAATGCTTCTAAGAAGATTATAGATCGTTGCGTATATACGGAACACGTTAATTTGAGTATACAAGAGTCGATCTGACACTTATACTTTTTCCTTCCGCGAACCACGCGCGATTCGACATTTTACAGTCTGAATTAATTCGATCCCATATGAATAACGACGTTTGCAATCCCCGCCTCTCACGATCACGTCGCGTTTGACCCTTGGCCCAATTTGCACCCGCGTTCTTAATTAAATCGCCCGCGAGACGCGCGCGTCCGTATTACGCGCCTCCCCCAATTTCCGCCTCGTCTCCCCGACGAAACCGCGATCGATAATACATCCGCCGTATTATCGCCGGAAGCTAATCCGATTTCGCGCGATCAGGGGCGAGAGGGGCCCCGGCTTTTATTTAGCTCTAATTCATAAGCCGCGCGCGCCCCGTAAAGTTACTTATATCGGACCGCAATTCGTGGCCCACATTCGCCGCCGCTGAATATCCGTCCCCCTCGTCGCCCCTCCCGCCCCCGTACGCGCTTACGTTCGCCGCATGCGGGCCGCATCGCCGCGGGATGCACGCCGCAAGGTAAACCCCCGTAGGGAGCCCCGTCGTGCGCGCACGACGTTTCTGCAGCGTCTCTCCCTGCTCCTTTTGTTTTCTTTCTCCCCTTTCCCTGTCTCTCTGTTCTTTGTTTTTAAAGGAGAGTCTTCATTCCTTATGTAACACGATAAGGATCTTTCTCGTGTCACTGCTACTGAATTGTGTGTACTCGGTGTCTCCCCTTTGCTCTCTCTCTCTCTCTTTTTTCCCTCTGTCCCCTCTCACTCCCGTAAGGTTAACGGGAAAAATTCGATAACGCGTAGATTCAAAAGAAATTTAGAACTTTGCGCGAGCGACCCCTCGCGATTCTAGGAAGCGAGACGACCCCTCGAAAAAAGAGGGATGAAATAATTTAAACGACTCTTATCCTTTAATGTCCTCGAAAGTGCCGGCGACTATCGAGGGCAAAAGATCGAGAGATGACTCGTGGAGGAGGCAGAGGTGTTTCTTTCTCTCTCTCTCTCTCCCTCTCTCTCTTTCTCGCAAAGTGATGCTCTCGTATTCCGCGGGTACTCCGTAGCTGTCGCCGCGACTACGTAATTATCCCGACGAGGGGCGAGGGGGGAAGGGGTCGTCTCGCCGCTAATTAACGGCGGTAGTGGCCGTGGGTACTTACAATTGTGATTCAGCTGAGACAGCTCCAGCGCCGCGCACTTGTACCGATGCCTGGACTCCAGCGTGGGTATCACGATACCGATCACCAGGCTCGAGTCCTTCTCGTGGTAGCACACCAGGGCGTCGCATTCCTTCCCGTCTGCAATGCATAGTCATGCGGTTTCGTGATTACTCGGCGCTACACACACCCCACCCTTTCGTCAACCCGGGCCGAGCTGGACCGGGCGGCGAGGGAGGCGAACGGGGTCGTAACAGTTGCTTCGGTTCGGGGACAGATAAATGGGTCTGCAGTATATACCCTCTCGGTCTCCCGTTTCCCGCCGTTCCCGACCCTTATCCCTTAAGCCGGATAATTTTTATATAGGGACCTCGACACTCCATTCGTCGCGTCTGGGGCTCTGAATAAATATTTTCCCCGCCGACGTAAGATCCCCTGTCTTATCTGCGCGAACCCGAGAACGTAATTAAATAAAGACAATATTTGAGCCCCCGACGTAGAGGACATAAATCGAGGGTTTGCCTTTATATTAGGGTCTCGCGGAGCGTAGACTCGTGTTACGAAAAAATAGCGCGACGACTGAGGGGGTCCAAGTTTTACATCTTGGCGATTTGTATTCATAAGAACGTAAGGATCTTCCTGTTTGACTTGTTTCACGAAGACTCGAGGGTCAATGGACCTTCCTGGGAAACGCGAGATACACGCGACGTCACATCGGGATCCTCAGACCGACGTCTTTCATTTTCGATCGATCTCCTCGAGCCCCCGAAAATCGATCGGGCAAAGTTCAGGACAGATTAAACGGCTCTTCGAGGCGATAAGGGAACGCGCGAGCTTTCTTACGAAGAGACGAAGGATGGGGATTCGCGCCCCTTTATGAATATAAAACAGAAATTTGGCGCTCCTCCGCGAATCCCGCGCGATCCGAGAACGAGTTTAAGTGGAACAGGATGATGAGGTGGGAGAGATAGGGGTTGGGGAAGGAGGGCGTAATAATTCGCGCATTATCGCTTCCGTTTACTCGAAATTTATTCCCGCGTGGTGGTCGGAGCCGCGCGCGTAACCGTTCACTCGAGAAATAGATTAAATCGTTATCGCCCGCCCGCCATTATGCGCGCAAAATGTCCCATAGAGGTAAATAATGTGCGCCATAATGGGCGAGGGCGCTTATATGACGGGCGCGCGAGGAAACGGCGGTTTAAGGGAATCGGTTACGGCGGCGCCCTTTAGTTTTACCGTAATTCTGACGTTTATTTATCGGGCCGTACGTTCGCGGAATACGAGGGCGCCTGGAGGAAACGGCGACAATTAAGACCCCGAGATCGTTTAAATAATTGCAAGACGCCGCCGAATCGAGCGCTACGTTAAGATGAAACGTAACGGGAGCACTTGCGCGCTTATGAAGGAAATTAGCGGGCGTCATCTTGTCCGATATCCAACAACAATCCCGTACTTCGCTTCGCGGGGTAAACATAATCTGCTTTTCGAGCGTGGGGCGCAGCTTGAAAATTTAAATTAAAAACGCGCAAATATTTAATGGGCAAATTTCGCCCCCTTAAATATTCATCCGCCGCCAGCGGATCAATGCAATTTTTTCGCCGTCGTGAATAATTCGGTACAGCCATCCATATTAATCGCGGTGTTTATTTTTTTACAAATTACTTTCAAGGCCACCTTTAGCTTCTTCCCCTCGTGCAGGGTCTCACCTTTCTCGCGTCTTTCGTAACATCGAAATGAATTTATTCGGGAATATAATACGGTATTAAAAAAAACCGACTAATCTTTAGTTGAAAACCGAAAGACTTTTGTCGCCAGGGAATTTAAGGCTACGGTGGAAAGAAACAATAAATAATAATAAAAAATATATTATAAACTGAAATTAAGATGTCGAATTATTTTCACTTTATAAAAAAAAATATTTCTAAAAAAGACCGCATTACTCACGGGATGTCCCAGTAACGTTTCCGTTGCGAACCTTTGTTATTTTACATACATTTTTTGCAATTAACGAACCGATCGAGCGTCTGGGCGGCCCCTCTGTCTCTCGCGCGCGCGCGAAAGTGTCCTCCCGGCCGGCGAAAACGTCGCGTTGTCGCGCTCGATTTCTCACGAGCGAACGAATGTCCCACGACATCGCCGCCTTATACGGGGACGCGGAGAGAGAAAATTACGACGATTACCGGCGGATTCCCGGAACGCGCGGCGCGCGAGACGTCGCCCGTCGCCATTAGCGCGATCCGCGGCGGCGTGCTCGTTTTCTCGACCGGCCCCGGCGCGGCGGGGTCCTCGGCACGACGTGACGGTATCATCCCGGTCGAGCCGGCCGCGGAGCAGCCGGCCGGCTAATGATATCTCGTTGCATGGCTAATGCCGCAAATTGCCGGGCCCCGCCGTAATTGGGCCCGACGCGACGCGACGCTGCACGGCTCGACGTCGCACGCTCTCCTCGCCGGCGAGGAGGGTAAACGACGTCGGAGGCGGAGGGACCGTCGCCAAGATTTAGGTCGGGACGACGTGCTCCTCGCTCGCCTCTATTCCCTCTGACGTTCATTTGAAATTCTAGAGAGCGGAAACCGAAGAAATTCCGGCCAGGGTGACAGCTTTGCGCGAGAAAGGGCCGGTAAATTTGGGAAAACGAGACGCGGCTCCGTGTGACTTCGAGTTTTCTAAAGGTGGCCCGGAATTCTGCGAATTGCAAAAGTCTCTTTTTTTCTGCAAATTTGGAACGATAGACGGTAGATAATGTGATTAATATAATTCGTGTTATCGAAATAAGTACAGAATTTTTAGGCGCTTTATATGTATTTTTTTTCCGTGAAAATGGTTCGTATTTATTCCTGCTGTTTCCAATTTGAAAGGAATTTAATATTTTCTACTTCACTTTTAGTCGTGAAACCAGTAACGAGCTAATAATTGTTGAACTAACAATCAAAGGGAGAAGTTCCTTGCGCAACTTCCATTTTTCTAGCTAACCCAAAGTTCTAAAAAGTATTCGTACAAAATGTTTTCTTCTCGCAAATTTAAAATAATGTGGCGACGCGGTCAATGACCTTTTATCGTAATTGGTGCAGAATTTGAATGTGCTTTATGTATTCCCTTCACGAATAAATACGTATTTATCTCTAGTTCTTTCAAGCTGAAAGATCATAGGTTGAATTTTTCTTAGCTCGTTATTTTTAATCGCGAGACACATTTACATTAAATGCCAATAATATTTATTAAACTAATATGCAAAGAAAGAAGTTCCTCATGGAATTTCGATTTTCTCGCAGATAATCTTAAAAATTATTTGTAAAAATGTTTTCTTCTCGCAAATTTAAAATAACGTGGCAACGTGGTCAATGACATTTCGTCGTAATTGGTGCAGAATTTGAATGCGCTTTATGTATTCCCTTCACGAATAAATACGTAATTATTCTAGTTCTTTCAAGCTGAAAGATCGAGGATTGAATTTTTCTTAGCTCGTTATTTTTAATCGCGAGACACGCCATTAAATGCCAATAATAATCCCATGGCATTTATTAAATTAATATGCAAGTTAATATGCAAGCCCGGATATTTAAAAACTGCGTGAAGAAATGTCTTTTTCAAATTTAAAGCGCGACAACGTGGTTAATGTGCTATTTTATCACAGTGCAGAATGCATGAATGAGCTCTATACATTCCCTCCGTGAACAAATAGATCCCCACGTATTTATACCCGCCATTTTCAAGCTGAAAGGACAGGGGAAACTGAATCTTTCTCCACCCACGTCATTTTTAATCGCGAGGCACGACTAAATGCCGGTAATAATCCCACCGTAATTGTAAAACGTAATATGCAAAGAGAGAACCTCGGTGTAACGAGTTACATCGTTCATATTACAGCGTGTCTGCAGTATTGAAGCGCCCGGGCAACGGCGGCGCCGCGAGAGAAAGGGAGAGGGGACCGCGTAAAATCCTTTGAAAGTTCCTGCCCCCGGCGGAATTAGCGTTACTTAAGTAAATTGCGAAAGGGCGGGAAGAATTAAAGTGCGATCGGTTAGGCGAGCAAAAAGGAGATGGAGGGAAGGAGGAGGAAACGGAGGGAAAAAAAAGAGGGGAAAAAAGGGGGAGGACGCAGCTCATTAAGCCTCAACTAGATCGAGGCTCCTATTTACGCGAGCTCTTGCCTCCTGGAGAATGTCCTACAGGAATAAAACGACGCCGCCGTCGTCTTTTGTGCCTGCGAAAATTCTCCTCCCCCCTCAACTCCCCTTCCTATTCTCTCCCTTGCTCTTAGAAGGATTAAAATTCGGCGGAATTTTCTACTCCCGAAGGCAACTCTCCTTGAGATCCTCCCGTTCCTCGATCCCGTGAAATTCTTTCGCATTTTCCGGCTGCTTTTAGAAAAATCAGACTGTTTCCGAATCACAACTTTGCAATTCCGTGCGATCTAAAGTTCCAGGGTCCTAAGATTACCGTGGACTGTAATTCGATTTTCCAGGGCCGAGAGATTTTCAATTTTCTCAAACTTCCCTTCCTAGACGAATTCTCATGAATTCATTATTACGATTTAATTTCCTGCCCTTATTCCGTTATCATGTGCGCGAGAGGCGACACGTTGAAGTTATGTAGCAGCGAGACAAAGGCCACTGCGTTTTCTCACCTACAAAATTATCCTCCCGAGTCTCGTGTTCTTTTAAGCAGTCCCATAAAAAATTCACCCCTTTCAATACACAAGACCCCGGGACGACGCAGTTGGAGAAACAAGGGGGATGGAATCTAGAGGGATCTCGAAGCTCCAAACGCCTGCGATGGGAGTGGATTCTCACGGGGGGCTCGCGCCGCTATCAGCATATTATTTAAACAAATTGAAGGGTCGCGGCGCGAGGGTGGCAACGAAAAAAGGAAGAAAGCCGAAGGACTACTGAGGCGGCGATCGGCGCGAGGGGGTAGCAAGTACGAGAGAAAGAGACCGAGGACACGCAGACACTCCAATTTCCCCGCCGGAGTCTCGCGGTGCTTTTCGCGGTAATTAAGAGTCGCAATTAAGTGGACGAAAAAGCGTTGCTGATAATTATCCCGACATTGCACCTCCCCCGCCCTCCTTGCCGCGGCGAATTTGTCGTCGCAAAAAAAAAGGCGGACCAGAGAGGACGATAAGGAGGATGGAGCGAGGATCTTTAGCCCGTCAGGATCCCCTTAGTCTCGGGATTAAGGAAAAATCCTTGCGATTCATGCGACTTCGAATTTTATGTCAAGCCGTATCCCTGTCTTTAGATAACGAGATTCCGCCGTTTCGAGGGCCTTTAAATTAGGACAGCGCGTAGGAGGGCTGAGGTCTTAGAGAGGAGAAAATTAAATTCTGGCCCCTGGCGTTTCCTGGGAGATTTTCGGATTTCTCCGTCTCATGCGAAGGCGCATTTTTATTTCTAAGTTCACAAGGACGCCGCGTCTCGGAATAGCCGTTTAAGAATAAAAAGAGAACTCCCGGGACCGGAAGCTCGAGCCCCGAGTCTGAGAAGTTGAACGCCAAACCAATCCTCGGCTTTATGGTATCTTTAAGCTCTCGGGAAGCACGAGTTCTGGGATTTACAGGTCTTTAAGCTTCGATTTTTCCAAATTTCTACGGAATTCCGTGGAGCATCCGCAGCCCGAGGACTTTTCTTACCGCCGAGTGGCGGAGATCGCGCGGGGGTTATTTATGATTTGCAAGCTCACCGCTTTCCTCGAGGTGGCCGAACTTGTCTCGGCAAAACAGTGCGAGTGGCAGCCAGCAACGCGCGTAAAATGCACCGGCTGATAGCAGCAGCACGAGGACGAGGACTGCCAGCAGGAGAGACTTCCGCCAGGAACCATTCGGAAGACTCAATACGAACTGCGGGTCTGCAAATCAAAAAGAGAGAGACTTCGACATTTTATACGAAAAGCTAAAGTAGTAAATGCAACAGTAAAAAAAAACAATAGAAACAGTAGCAGGAAGAAAACAAAAACTGGCGACACGCTTCGATTAAATAATAAAACTGACAATTCGGATAAACGATTGCGAAGTCAATTGCATTAGTTAATCAAAATTAATAAAAAAAAGTTATACAAGTTATTAGAGAGCATTTTATACATTTTATACGAAAAGCTAAAGCAGTAAATGCAACAGTAGAAAAACAATAGAAACAATAGCAGAAAGAAAACAAAAATTGGCGACACGCTTCGATTAAATAATAAAACTGACAGTTCGGAAAAACGATTGCAAAGTCAGTTACATTAGTTAATCAAAATTAATAAAAAAAGTTATAAAAGTTATTAGAGAGCAACAAAAGCAAAATCCTTTATTTCAAAATTTCGAAAATATTTGTCACCAGATAAATAAATTCTAATAAAAATATTTCAAATTAGTGATAAAATGAATTTAATAATAGTATTAAAATAAAAATAAATGCAAGTACCTTTTCAACTTTCAAATATATTTGTCCGCAAATAAATCCTATAATAAAGAGATGAATCCCAAAATGTTTTAACTCCGACCAAAAAAAAATACAGAGAGATTTTCGTATAAAGATAAAATAATTATTGTTTTCTTTTCACCGCGAAACAACATTAAGGTAGCAGCAATGCGGTACAAATGTACGCTAAATGTGACAGTGAATTAAATCTTTCGATTGAAAAACAAGATTTCACCGTTGCATTGTAACAATTTGCTCGCGAAACAAATTTGTCGTATAATAATTAAAACCGATAAAGCGAATCGCCGGCGCGCGCGGTTTTGCTAGTTGACCGATATATTTCCCGGACATTTCCACCGATTATTAAAATGAATTCGACGCTAGACTGTTTTTATACGCGAACAATAAAGCGTACAGATTGATTGAATGCGCTTTGCGTCGAGACGTAATTAACAATCGCGGCCGGTAAATAACAAACGGAATTATTTAATCCATCGCCGGGTGCATTTCGGATCTCATTCGCATAAAAAGCTTTCAGGGTTCTGACGTAATATTAATTTAAAAAAATTGTAAACATTATATCGAGCACGCCAGAAATTAACGTTCAGTGATAAATTTCCGTAAAAGCAGTAAATTAATCTCCAAATAAAAATATAACAAATTATAATAAATAGATGATTAATTCAATACGAGATTATTTTTCTATCGCGTTTTTACTAAAATCCGTAGATTTACGATGACAGAGAGGTGTTGAAGAGATTCCGAGCGGTTTTACTGACCTGGCCGATACACGTGAGCTGTCAATGTGATCTCCTCGTCGACGCCGTTGCTGATTTCGCATTTGTACTTGCCGTAATCCTCGAGAGTGACGTCCTGAATCCCCAAGTACGAGCCGATTATTTGATCGTTCTCCCTGCAAGCAGAAAAGCGGACAAAAACAATTAATAGTAACGGATTTTAATTGCACGTGGACTTAACAAAAACACCCGAGCTCTCCTTAAGAGAGAAATTCTTTAAAGAAAAATCAGTTTTAACGATTAAAAGAAAGATATATGGTACGTATATATTTCTTCTCCAAAGAAATAAAAGATATCCGTGGGCGCGAGATTTAAAAAATAAATTTGATACATTCATTTTGTATCTGACCCATTCAATCTTAATTTTGCTTAATTCTGTTTGAAAACTTGGTGGTCTCCTCGGATTCGCACCTTAAAAGCCTGAAACTCACTTGCCCGTCGAAGAAAATCGAGCACGTTCTCAAATTTCAATTAATCTCAATCAGATTCAATTGTACAAAGATTTCCCGACAATTATCAAGATTTAATGAGAAAAAAAAACCGTCGCGAGAGACAAAACTTTCCGAGGCTAGAGGAGGCGCCTCTTCAAGAACTCCACGGTCCGGGGATTCGCACCCGAGAGTCCGCGGGTCTCCCCGGCGATCAATCGCCGTGGAAAGCAATGGAACGTATGAGCCATTTCCTGACATAGGATTTAATAAAAAAATCCCACCAGAGGACGTTCGCGCGAGTCAAGCGTCGACGTAGTCGGCGGCGTCCGGAGTTTTTCAAATCTCCGGTTACATCTCGCGCGCGGATATTGCAGCGCGAAAAAGGCGCGACATATTATTGCACGTTTTCCCCCCCCCCCCCCATTCGCGTTTCGCAATCTAGAATGCATTGAGGCGCGTGAGTTCCACGTCGTTTTTTTTTTCGGGTGGTCGTCGACCGGACCAACCACCTCCCCCCTCCTCCCGCCGCGCAAAGAATAAACGAAAAACGGGAGGGGGAAGGTCCGCGTTTCACTCGTTGTTGCGGCGCAACGAACGCCGCGAAAAGAGCCGAGGGTCCGCCCGTTACACAATCGTTTAACGCACGAAACATTTCGCCGTGCTAATTCAATTACGAGCGCGGCCGGCTTCGGCCCGGCCGGGCCCGATCGTCGCGACGACTTACCCGCGCAATTAATTCTCGCCGCGTAATTTCATTCATTCGAGCCCGTCCGCGCGCTCACCCCCGTCGCCTCGCCCGCGGCGCAACAAAAGCGAAACGCGGACGCCGGCAAACAAATAAATTCGGCGTTTCGGAATGAGCGAGTCAAGGAAGCACGATTTAAAGGGCGATGGAGCACGTTTCGTGCAAAACGAGCGAAGGTGGGAGAGAGAGAGAGAGAGAGAGAGGGAGAGAAAATTAATTAGATTTATTAGACAATTAACAGATTATTTTGATACGAGCTGTCGGGCACTGCCGCGTGCAGGTGCGAGGTTTCGGTTTCACATAGGAAACGCACACACAGGCAACCAACCGTTCTCGGGCTGTCGGCGATCTCGCGGAGCACCTGTCACGGTTTTCGCGGGTATCTGCGATTTTTCGAGCCGCCGCGAATACGCGAACACGCGAAAAGTTCGGCGAGTTTCGGCCGCTCCCGCGACGAGAGACCGGATGTACAGGCGTTACAGCGCCGATACAAATTCCCGCGTTCGAAAGGTCGCGCGAGCGAGGCGAGTTCGACGAATCGTCCGCAATTTTTTTTTTCCCCCCCGCTCGACAGGTCTTTGTGTGTGTAACGATAGCCCCGGAATATGTACGATCCATCAATATTCAAAAAATATTGACTTTCACTGCCCGCCGCTGTCATTTTTCCTCGCGGAGCGGCGAGTCCGACATTATTTTTTTCGGCGAGGACCGCCGCGCGGAAAAGCCCCGGATACGCGCGCGCCTTCGGACTCTCCGCGCGCGCGTGTGGTAGTATATTAATTAAAAACCCGATTCCCGCTCGATTTGCACCGGTATCTGGTCAACGCGACCCACGAGGGGGCGGGCGGGCCGGCCGAAAATCCGGCGATCTTTCACCCTCCGGCCCTTCGTTTCGTCCTCCAACCCCTCCTCCCCGCCCTGTTCCACCGTTAGTCGGCATCCAGCGGGATCGGGGCACGCTCGTGCCCGACGTTTATGCGCCCGCGATGACATTTATGAGGATCGTGCGCATCGACCGGTGCCCGCTTTCTCCGTAATTTGCCAAACGCGCTTTACCGAATAAATCGCGTGTCCGCGATATCCACGGCGTGGCACAATCGATACCGCATTCTGCGGGCCCGACAATCGCGCCGGATCCGACCCGCTGGATCCTGGGACGCGTAGCGAACGCAATTCCGCGCCGCCGAATTGCGTAGTAAAAACAAGTCCCCACGGCGTAAAAAGAAAATAAAGATATAAAATAAGAATGTAAAACAAAGATGGGAAATATTTGAAAAAAGACGAGAGAAAGGAAAGCGACCGTTTTCATTTTTCGGTTTAATAACATCTTTTATTTCAATAACTTGCATTTTATAGAGCGACGAATTAATTTTTCTGCACCGCTGAAAATGCATTCTGCATTTCTGGCTTTGAAACGGTTCGGCTCGGTGGAAATCACTTTTCCGTCCCCGGTGAATTTTCTTCCGCGTAAATCGGACCTCAGTTGTGAAAATAAAAAATAATCCTTAGAGGCAAATCGTAAGTCGGGACTGTAGGGCGAGAGACAAAGATCTCCTGCACGATGAACAATTTTAACCCCTGTTTAGCTGGCACCACCCCCCCCCCACCTTGCCGGAAAAAAGAAACAACTAGCGTAAACTAATGAGCAATTAATGAGCTTTCAAACCCCATAAATAAAAATTTTTGAGCTCGTCCCACTAAGCAGGAAATTAAATTCTTTTGAGGAGGGGCTGAGTCAACGTTGATCTTACCATTTAAAAATAAGAACATGAAAAAATTCCTTGCAGTAGAATTAAGAGCTTTCTATGAGCTTTCGAACTGATATAGTTTCGATTTTTGAGCTCACCCCCTTTACCAGAAATCCACCCCGTATCTTCCCGGCACAAGAGAGAAGTGTACCTCAAATGAAGAAAACTAACTATTTTGCGATTAAATATTGTTTACCGATTTAAATTGTTTCTTTTTCCGGCAAGATGGGGGGAGGGGCAGCTAAGCAGGGGTACAATTTTAGGGACGAGAACCGAAACTGTTTTTTAGTGGCATAGCTAAATAAATTTATTATTTAGAGCGAATCGACATTCGCTCTAAAAATGTATTGGAATAAAGGACGGTGACATTGCAAAATAAAAGCGGCCGTTTCATTTTCTCACCCTTTTTACATGCTTGGACCGGAAAATCTAGCTAAAACTCCCCGTAAACTCTCCGCGGAGCTTCGAAAATCCGCGAAAGAGAGAGAGAGAGAGAGAGAAAGGAAAAAGAATCGCGACTTTCGAAGTCCTTTGCGAAACCGAACGAGCGATCTCGATCGCCGACACGTGGCTGATTCAGGATCGTCGTAATTTAGAACGATCGAGACGAAGGGGCGGGAGGGACTCCATTGGTTATCCGTTCTAGGTATTGCGGTGGCTTTTTATTCGATTAAAGTGCCGCGGGTAACACGGGCGACCCGTTTCTGCGAACGCTCTATAAATTCCGGCCCGTTAAGTTGATTAAAACTATTCCAATTGATGGCATCATACGTCGAACCGCCGCGGCCTTTCCCGCGAACTCCCGACGCTGATCGATCGATCGGATCGAAGTGCCGCATCCGAAAAAAAAATGCGTGCCGGAACGACAGACTCTCCTTAGAACAGGCGAGACCTTTTAATGAAAAAATGTTTTAATCACTTTACAAATCTCATCGATTTAAAATCGCGCGCTAAAACTTTCGAAAACTTTAAAGCTTTAACATAAAATTACAAGTTGACGAACTTGTAAATTACTCGATTGATTTGTGTAGATATTTGTGGATCGTTATAGGAAACGGATATGTCAATAATGGTGCCGTTTGTATTATTTTTATAATGTTAAAAACTTCAGCGGGTCTCGACGATTAAAAATCTGCGGAGAACTTGGAAACTATTTTTAATCCACGTTTCTCGTTATCGAGAAATTAAACGTATCCGCGGAGCAGTTCATTTCAGATTTTTAATTGAAATAAAAATTACGACGTGGAAAACTGCTTTTTACAGAAATTACCGGAGAGCCAATAAATTACTTTGTATTTTGTGAAACTTGCGTTCACTCGTTGTGTACTTTTACTTCGTTCGAAAAGAATAAAGAACACAGTTAAACGTTCGTGTTTCTTTTTTTGTATGAACTTTTTATCAACGGGACGATTTAATAGTAGCAATTGTATTAGCGTATTACGTAATTCCTTATGACGTCACGGCGCCACGATGTACACTCAGAAAATTATCTTACTAACGCAGGTAGAGATCTAGGTGTCGCAACAAAAGTCTATCACTATTTTGTATATCTGTTAGAAAATTGTTTGTAGTCTACAAAATTGTTGCTGCAGTTGCAAGATCGTTTTCTCGAGCGGTACAACTGATGCACTTTGTGACACGTAACGTCGGAAATATTATAATTGCACAATAAATCCACAAATAATAATGCAGCTGTGCTGTAATAAATATAATAAGTATTTAAACAATTATTAAAATGCATAAGGCTCTAATGTGAAAACACAAATACGAAATAATAAAGGAATGAGAGCCAGGACAGGGCGTTAGTGTCTAAATAATTTTATTTTTAAGCCTATTGCGAAAAATTATACCTCAGTCAGGGTTTAATCGTTATTATTATTATTCACGATCGTTCACCACGGTAGCAGTCTTTCCGCCCTTATTCCACGCATCTCCGCGCAATAACACCGCACGTGCAGTTTCCCCATTAGGGATCAGCTCGCCCGCAATTAACGGACAATTGTCGGCGCAATTGTCGCAACGATTGTCCGATGCGGGCGCGTTAGGAGCGGCGTTTTTACCTAGAATAATTGCGCGCCGCGTTCGCGGCCCGGCGTCGGGGATTCGGGTTCGATTAAATTTTACAACACGCCTCAGCCTAACATTTCCATCGACTCGCGCTTATCGGCTCGCTTTTTCCTTCCCGGAACGCT